TCTTATTGATATAGAATTAGAATGTTACTAATGTGGTTGTGAGTTCAAATAGAACTACTTGATATTTAAAATAGTTATAGTATATTTAAAAAGCTATTTTCCACTTATCATCTTTATATATGTGTAGTTAATGATATACATTATGAAGATCTAACTATAAATAAATCTTTATATCAGCTAGTCTGTTAATTATTTTACTGATTAAGAGGAGAGAATATTGATTCTTTATGCTAATAGTATTAAGCCTGTAATAGTCTATATAAAGATATATAATTCTATCTTTTTTTAGAATGAAAAATATTAGTATACTTATAAAGCTTTTTAATGGGTGTATTCATCCTTTTTCTAGACTAGATTCCAGGTATTTGTGTAGCACCTCTAGTTCTTTAATGGAGAAATTATAGATTGATTGATAAAAAAGTTCTTTTTCAGGTATTAAATTAATTAGATGATTATATTGTATATATTCTAGAAGTAATTCTGCTGTAGCTTCTAAAAAAATGTCTTTATATTTATAATAAACTTCTAGTATTACTAGCTTTTTATTTAGAACTATGCTGAATAGAGTAATTAGTTTGTTCCTCTCTAATTGATATAAATAGATAATATAAGCTATATATTTAACTTTAATTGTTGCATTCACCTATTTCATGGTAATAATCTCAATATCATTGATGTATAATATATAATATATTTAGTATAATTTTAACTATTAGATGTTGAAATCCACAGCCTTAAGCTAGAAGAATTTTAGAATGACATTATAGCCTTTTATATTTATTACTTCAAAGTGAAAGCTCTAGTTGTGAGAGAGTCCCTTATTATTAATTATATGTATATATATCTCATGTTAGTTGTAGGCTATAATTTAATATCTGTTAATTATGTTGATTTAATGTGAATCTTCACCATCTTTTTCAAGATATACTTTTATCTACTTTTAGCTGATAAAATTTACTTCTATATCTGAATTAATAAGTGCTCAGATAATAGCTAATTCTTAGGAGGTTTCTAGCTCTATCTTAATTGCTATTACTTCTTTACTATGCCTCTATCTCATCTTATTTACTCCCAGTATTATAGTAGTGCTCAGCACTTAGGAATCTAGTTTTTTAACTTATACTTCTTTATATGCTTTTCAGGATGAAGTTCTCAGCAGTCATTAGAAATATAATCTAATTTATTATAATAAGAGTACTTAAGATAAAAGGTGAACTTAGATTGTGAGGATCAGCCTCTAAGTATATAGTTTAAAGATTTTTCCCTTTTAAACTCTATTTTTATCTAGAAATTAAAGGACTTCTTCTTATATAGTGGATTTACAGTGATTTCCTACTTAAATAAGAATAGTTTTTAATTCTTATAATATTACTTCATCTTGCATAGAAATACTAATATTTCTTTATAATTCTTAGGATCTTTCTTTACTAGATATATATGAATCTGAATTTCCTCTTAATAGTAGTCTATTAGGTTAGAACTATGCTATTCCTCCTAGATCTTATAGAGTAAATATTTCTCTAGATTGAGAAGATATTTAATGAAATTTTAAATAGATTGATTGTTTTATTATTATATATCTATATATCTTTTGATTGATTGTTGTTAGAGTGCATCTAAATTCATAAGATATAGTTATAACTATATATAGAGGTCTTCTCAGATGAATAATAGATTCTCTAGATTTACTTTATAATTCTTATGAAAGATATTCTATTAGTAGAGAGGTTTTATAATGAGTTTCTATATAGTATTCTGAATGCAGTATTTTTTAATGATATAATAATCTTCATTATATTTAAATTTTATTTCAGTTTGGATAATGAAGTCCTCAAGCTCTAATATACTTTTTTCTTGATATTTGAAGGAGATATTAATCTTTAAATGAGTAGTTTAGTAGAGTAACTAGGTTATTTCTATATAAGGCCTTTTTAAGATTTAATTTTAAGTTATAATTTTCTTCTATATAATCAGTATAGCTACCTCTTAATTCATTAATTCATCTTATACTAGCTAGTCCTTTAGTGTCTTTATAATATATTCTATCTTTTGAATTTTCTATTACATCTATAGTTTTTTGATGTATTCTTTAATTATATGTAACTGCACAGCAGGTAGATGTAAGTCTTTATTATTTAATCCTTCATTATCTGTAATTAATTTGTGGTTAGATTCCTGCAGAGGATCCTGTGGAGAATTCTATAAAGATTTAAGTTATAATTTATTATTACTAGTCTCTTACTGTACAGAGAAGTTAGTGTGCACTTAAGGAATTCTCCTATAGTTATTTATAGTCTTTTTATGAGTCATTTTGCTGTTGTTTGTCTATTTCTAATGAACTATTCACTCAGAAGTAAGCAAATAGAATTATAATATCTAGTATTAAATATAAAAAACTTTTTGATTTAAAAGGTGGACTATGAGTTGTTGAACAGTGTGATGAAAATAGACAGGTAAAAATATATATATATTTTAAATGTAGAAGTTATATAGTAATAGAACTATTTACTGGTTCTTTTCATAAGAAATCTGTACAGTATATATATTAATAGCTAGCTACTAAGTGTGCACTACATGCATATTACCAGGTACACTGTTAGATGCATTACTGGGCCTGAGGTCTAAAATCTAAGGTCTAAGAATGCAGTTGATCTACATGTAATACACAATTTCCTTTGCATATTATAATTTAAATTACTTTATTTAATAGAAGATTCAGATTATTACAGTTAGATAGTTCTATATTCTGCAGGCTAATCATATTGTAGGAATCAGTAATTTTATTGCCAGATAATTTAGTATATAATACAGTTAATATTTATTTTCTGTAATTAGACATCTAGGTGATAGTGAATAGATAATTTAACACATAGTGATCTAGTATACTTATAAATATATATATTCTTTATTTTTACTACATTCTTTTATTTTCCTTATTAAATATTAGCACTGTGATTTAATTCATCATTTTATTTATTATTTACTCTAGTATAGTATTCTCTTGTCTGAGTGTCTATAATGTCTTTCACTAATTAATAAATACTTTACACATTAGTTACACTCTATTTTAGAATATCCAGCCTGAATGTATATCTGTATAGTTGAATAATTATTTTACTTTTTGTATGTTACAACTATATAATATTACCTGAGTATAATATACTACTTTTCTTTACTTCTTCCATGTTATTAAGATATTATATCATAGAAATTACTAATAAATGTACTTTAATAGTTCAAAATAAAAAATATTAATTCAAAATGGCCCCCTAAACTTCTACATCATTATATGTGTATGGAGGGTATATGCTGTCAGACTCTCTCTTCTCTTTTAATCCTCTTATAGAGCTAGCTACCCCCCTACACAGTGCTTTCCTACTCTAAAGTCCTCAGACTCTATTATACTCCTTCTTAGCTATACTCTTCTATTATAAAGATTTCTCTTTTATCTTTTCCTATAACTTCTTTTCTATATATATTCCTATATTATCTTCTGCTGTTACTATCTTTTTCTGCATACTTAGCTATCTATTTACTTTTATACTCTCTATCATTCTAATCTATTCTACTTCTACCCCTACTATTCTAATATCTATTACTTAGTTGATTAGAGATTTTGTACAGCTCACTATACAAATCCTGAAGAATGATGGTGATGATAAGAATGGGAATAAAAATAAGAAGAATGAAAATAAGAATGATAATAATAATAATAAGAAGAAGGAAAAAAGGTTATTTAATATCATCTTAATTCTTTATGTAAGTATAATTATTCTGTTTTTATGCATTTAATTAATTCTAACTTTAATGAAAATAGCCTACCTCTCTAGACTAAACATGGTATATGCTTCAGTTTTTTTCTAGTATTTTTTCAGTTTATTTTTTTATCTGCTATACCCCTCAGGGCTTTTAATATTAGTATGAAATAATAAGATTTGATTTTTAAGAACTTATTCTTCCTCCTCTCCTCTTTTTATATACAGGTTAGTTATTACTTGAGTCAACAGTACTTCAACTTTATTATTTTATAACTAAACTATATATTGAACTCATCAATTAGATTCTATGCATTCTCAAGGTTTTTTACATTCTCCTAGAAATTCTCTACCTCTATTGTATTTTTCCAGCACATAAGATACTATTAATCATTGAAATAGTTATATTTCTCTAAAATCTCTTCAATTTTAAACTTCTTAACTCTATCTATTATCATTAATTTAGCCTCTAGGATTTCACTGTGCTGCACATGATACAGTTTGAGTAATGAAATATAAAAAATAAGATGTATATCTTTATATTGTGATATAAATTTCAGTTTGTATGCCTATTTCTCCCACTTATTAATGATTTTAAAAGAGCTGAGTTGATGATAGTTGAGCTTCAGGCTTGAATATAATATACTGATGTTTTTTGAGTACAGTATAATCTAATCTCTAACTATGAAATACTTCTTCTTATAATATTAATCATAGTATTTCTTCTGTATTTTCTAGGCCTTCAGAAGAAATTCTTATAAGTTATTTTATACTTCTTCTATATAATATATATATTTTATTACCTTTTATACTTTTCCTCCTTCCATGTTAATATCTAGTTTGATGTTAAAATACAGTTTAGATCAAAAACCCATTAGTGCTTCTATAGGAGACATTTTGAGAATACTATACATAGAAGTATTATAGGAGAACTGTACTAGTAGTAACTATCTAGTTCAATCATTCTAATAAAAGTTACAGTAAACATGCAGGTAGTACTCAAACATCTGATTCTATCTCTTAATTTAACTATTCATTTGAAGGTGGAATATAATCATTAACTATTAGTATACTTTCAGAAGGTAGTAAAGTATTAATTAGTATTTACTGAAGCTAAATATCTTAGTGTGGTCTATTACTTAATGATGTAGGTAACTAAAAAATTCAGTGAAGATGTTGAATATTAGATTTGCAAGCTCTAGTGTATTTATATCTTTATTAACTAGTTTATAAACTACATATTTAGCCCTGTATGTGTGGCTTAATGGTATAAGCAGCTGGCAGCCTTGACATCCCTATAGCACCTATATGTTATGGGGGCAGGTTCAAATCCTGCCAGGGGCACTTACTTTTTACCCACTAAGAGAGGTGTAAAACATCAGGTAGATTAGAGTCTATTCTCAACTAAAAACCTAGGTGGTTTTGGGTCCATCCTCAACTAAAACTCTTAGCCTTTAACTAGGGAATGCTTTTAAAAACCATCTGATTGGTGGGGCTGATTAGTGGCACCCCTAGGCCTTAAAGCTTGCATGCTTTGGGCCCTAGGGCGGCCACTAAGAAGGCCTAGCCAAAGAGGACACCCTAGGCCTCCTTGGCCCCTGGCCATGTCAGTAGCAAACCTAACAATAACTAAGGGTTAGGCCCATGCTAGGACCAAAAATGCCTAGATTCCCTACTTGGCAGCCTTGGGTACTACAAGGAAGGTGGTTAGTGGGGCTAATAGGCTGCATACTAGGCCTATTAGGTGCCTGCAAGACCATGATGGCTCACTGGTAGGCTGTAATGCCAAGGTGGGTAACTGGAAGCTTTAATTAATTAGTGTGGGGATATAGGGCTAGTTAGTTAAGGTAGGCAGTGGCTATTACTAAGGAATGGACTGGGAACTTAGTTAAATAATAGGCCTGACTGGATGGATGTGGCAGTCAGTAGTTATAGGCCTTGTATATAACTACTTAAGGTGCAAAGCCCCTAGGTAGTAGCCTAGGGGGGTTAGTACCTTCCCAGCTTTATAGAATATATTCTATAGTTAAAGAATATTTTAGAAGCCTTAACATAGAAGGTATTTATCATGAGGGGTTATATCATTAGAGAAAAACTTTGTAGAATCTGATTGATATTGATATTAGTATCTTATCAAAAGAGGAAGAAAAGAAAGTGCATCTTCAAAAACTTAAGAAGATTAATAAAGATAGAGCTTTATTAATATATTCAGATGGTTCAAAAAGTGAATAGGGTGATATAGGAGCTAATTTAGCTTTCAAACATTCTAAAATGAACTCTGAGTATACTTTAGACTCCTGGAATCTAGGAAGGGAGTGTGAAGTCTTTAATGCAGAGCTTTTTGCAATTCAAAAGGTCTTTCTTCTAGTAGGAAAGATGGTTAGAGAAGATATTACTATTTAAAATGTATGGATCTTTTCTGATAGTTAAGCAGCCTTAAAAAGACTCTAAAGAAATGAGATTCATAATGGTCAAATGAATCTGAATACTATTTAAAAAGCTTTAAATCAGACTTTGAGGCTAAAATCTGATGTTCAATTTCATTTGCACTGGGTCTCAGCTCATATGGGGATACAGGGTAATGAAAAGGCAGATTTAGCAGCTAAGAATAGAGCTGAAAAATCTTTTTCTTCAGTAAAAACTATGTTCTGATCATTTATTAAGAGGAGAATAAGAGAGATTTGTCTTGATAAATGGACTGAGATATGGGATTCTCAGAGGAAAAGCTAGAGTTATACTAATTTAAGTCTAAAATCAAGATGGAAAGCTAGATTGATTAATTGTAAAAAGAAAATCTTCTCTTCTATTATTCAATTAAAGCTTAGATATGACTATTTCAAGTCATATCTTAAAAGGTTTAGGGATAATTCAAATGATTTATACTCATGTGGATTGATTGAGAATCCTTATCATTTATTAATAGCTTGTTCATTATATAATGATATAAAAGCTGAACTTCTTGAAAAGTATAGAATTAATTAAGTAAATATAGAGTTTCTATTTCAAATTAAGATAGGAATAAAGTATTTAATTGAATTTCTTCAGGTAACTGAGATTGCTACCAGAGATTGGAGGCTAGAAGTGGATGTTTAGAAGATGTTTTATATTCTATATTTATAGGAAGAGTTCTGATTTATTTTTAATTTTGTTTTTGAATTTTTCATTCTTTTATTTCTTTTCTTATATTTTCTTTTGAAGTCATTCTGTCAGCTATTACAGCTATTTTCCTTAAAAAGTTTATCTGTTTTGCCTGTTTTTACATTCTTTAGTTTTTTCCTTATTTTCTTTACACATTATCTATCTGAGATGAATAGTTTGAAAACTGTTGTTTATAAAAAATGCAGTTTTAATAGCTTTTTTATTCTAGGCTGGAATTCTATTATTGCAAGTTATAAATTAGGCCTGTATACTAGATAGTTTGAGCTAGAAAATCCTAAGTTTATACTTAGGTAGATGTCATAGTTACTAACTGCCATACACCTTAAATGAAGAATAATAATAATAATAATAATAAACTACATATTTAGTTAATTTATCTATAAATACTATAATTAAATTATAGATCTTGCTGTTCCACTTGAATAGTAGAAGTTTAATAATGAAATCTATTATTACTATTTCAAAAGAAGAAATAAGAATAAAAAGTAATTTTAATTAACTATATTTCTTGTAATAGTGCATCTTAACCTATTAGTAGATATTATAGATGTACATGTATTCTCAATTATTTATTATTATACCACACTAAAAGTATTTCCTTCAGATGCACTTAAAAGTGTACTTAACATTAAAATATTCTTCTTAAGAATTATTATGATTTAATTTTATGATCTCATCTCTTATTGTTTGATCTATAGGAATAAAAATACAACCCTTATAATGAAATAGACTATTTTAATTAATTATTTAGTTTGAATGCTCAGTCTTATTTATTTTATCTACTTTTATTTTTCTGTATACCTCAGTATGTTCAGCATTTAAAGCTTGCATGTAGCATAAGAATTTCATGATGAGTTTAGTAAGAGAGGATTTATAAACTGTATTAGATTTTATGATTATATTAATTAATATTTATAGTATTAGATAAGCTAGTTTTTTTATATTATTAGTAATGTATCTCTCATCTGTGCATGCATTTCAATATATGCAGGAAGTAAGTACATCAATGTAAATTACATTTTTCTTATTATTTAATAGTTTTAAATGTATTATTATATTAGTTACTTACTGACTGAGGTCTTCCAACTATATCTATACATCTATATTTAGTGTTTAAAATATTCCTTGAAGAAGCTTTTCTTAAATTATTAATAATAGTATTTATCTTGAAGTATTTTCTTTATAATTAGAGTAATGATTAGATATATCTATAGGATTCTTCATCTCTAAATAGTACTTAATAATAAAGTTAAATGTAGAGAGTATTTCCATTCATTATATCTAATATTCTACTAACTCTATTATTATTATAAAGTGCTGTAGGTTGGTATGATCAGATAAAATCATTATAGAGAAATATATACTATATAAGTAGTAATATTATTACTTGAATGCTATGAGAATAGTAAGGAGTTCCTAATTATATATACTATAATTATACTCTACTAGTAATAAGCCTTATAAATAATATACAACTAGATACTATTATCCATTATTTAGATTTAACTGCAAGAGGATTATACTCAGTATAAAACTTAATATATCTAGCTTCACTCAGAGTTTCCAATCTGAGTTGAAATACATAAGGATTGAGATCTTTATAAATACACTTTTTAACTCTTGAAAAGTTTTCTACATATTAGTATTAAGAAGGATCATTTTTTAGTTCTAATCTTTTCATATTACATCTTTTATAAGTATAGATAAAAACTATACTTTCATTGTAAATCTATCTATAAAATAGTAGTAAAAATTTATAAATCCTAGAAATATCTGAATGTTATAGATGCACTTAGATTTTAATTAGAAGAAAATAATATTAATTTAGCTTTATTCTATCTTAATATTATTCATATTAATTATAAAGTTGAGGAAATTGATGTGATCCACATGAAATATATATTTACTAAATTTTATATATAATTTATAGGTATATAGGTATTTCAGTATCATGCACATGTGCTTGCAGTACTCTTCCTCTAAGTCTAAGTAAATAATAATGTCATTCAGATAGATAATACAGTAGATATCTAGAAGATTATTTAGAGTTTTATTAATATAGAATTAAAATGTCACTAGTGTATTTATGTATCTAAAGAGAATTACTTGATATTTAAAATAACTATAGTATATTCAGAAAGCTGTTTTCCACTTATCATCTTTATATATATATAATTAGTGATATATATTATAGAGATTCAATTATGAGTAGATCTTTATACTAGCTAGCCTATTAATTATTTTACTAATTAAGGGGAGAGAATATTAATTCTTTATGCTGATAGTATTAAGCTCACAGTAATCTACATAAAAATATATAATTTCATTTTTTTTCAGGATAAAAAATATTAGTGTGCCTGTAAGACTTTTTAATAGGTATATTCATTATTTTTCCAGACTAAACTTTAGATATTCATACAGTACCTTTAGTTCTTTAACAGAGAAATTATCTCCTTAACTGGCAGTAAGGATATTTTAGTGTCTCTCTTTCACTACCCAGATTTAATAAATTAGTAATCTCATGTGAAAGTATTTAAGGCTTTTCATTGGTGGCAGAAAAAGGGCGCTAAAATATCCTTACCACTAGTTGAAAAGATAGATTAATTAGTAGGAGGATTCTTTTTCAGATATTAAATTAATTAAATAATTATATTATATATATTCTAGAAGTAATCTTACTGTAGCTTCAAAGAAAATATTTTTATATTTATAGTAGGCTTCTGATATTACTAGCTTCTTATTTAAAATTACACTGAATAGAGCAATCAGTTCATCTCTCTCTAGTTGATATAAATAAATAATATAAGTTGTACATTTAATTCTGACTATCACATTCATTTATTTTATAGTAATAATCTTAATGTCATTAATATACAGTATATAGTATATCTAGTGTGATTTTAACCATCAGATGTCAGAATTTACAGCCTTAAGCTAGAGGAATTTTAGAATAACATTATAATCTTTTATATTTATTACTTTAAAGTAAAAGCTCTGGTTGCAAGAGAGTCCTTTATCATTAATTATATATATATATATCTCATGTTAGTTATAGGCTATAATCTAGTATCTATTAATTATACTAATTTAGTGTGAATCTTTATTACTCTTTTTAAGATATACTTTTATTTATTTTTAGCTAATACAATTTACTTCTACATCTAAGTTAATAAGTGCCTAGATAA